AAAAAAAACAACAGTTTTTGGTCTTCAAATTGGCTTGAGTGCACTTAAGTATAATGTTTTTTTTTAATGAAATCGGGCTTAAATTTTTCGAGGAATCAAATTGCGTCAGAATTCATATATAAACCGGTTCAAAAAGTTTAGGTTTAGCATTTAAGTGAAAATGAGAGGTACGTTAAAAATGAATTACATATTCGTAAAGAACGCATTTGGTACATCACATCTCCGTGGAAATCTGGTTGATCCACGCGGTCATTGCCGAAATCGTATGTCTATCCAGCGGGACACGGGTTTTCCGGGAAGCTTTGAGGTCCGTTCAAAATTCTTGAAGGTACGCTATGGTACGCACTCTTGGTGCATTCCAAAAAACGTATCAACTTTGAAATCCATTAAGTTTGTCCTGCTGGACAGATTGACGTTCCGTGAACATAATATAAAGTAAACATGGTAGGAAAGGTTTTCAGATGTAGGTGTCCTAAGCTAAAGATTTAACTTGATTTAATTTATTGGGCAAAACGATCTGGTCTGGGGTGCTTGGCGACTTTGGCAGTCACGACGGTGGAATGCAACGGCGGAGGCCAGATGGCCGGATAGTGTCGGCCGGATAGTGTCAGTCGGATAGTGTCTGCGACTGGCGATGACTGGATGGCGAGAATTGGATGATGACAGCCGAATAGCGTCGACCGGATAGCGTCGGCCGAATAGCGTCGGCCGAATAGCGTCAGCCGAATAGCGTCGGCCGAATATCTCCGGCCGAATAGCGTCGGCCGAATAGCGTCGGCCGAATAGCGTCGGCCGAATAGCGTCGGCCGAATAGCGTCGGCCGAATAGCGTCGGCCGAATAGCGTCGGCTGGATAGCATCGGCCGAATAGCGTCGGCCGAATAGCGTCGGCCGAATAGCGTCGGCCAGATAGCATCCGAAAAGGCAGATCTACGGTGAAAGCCATTCTTGACGTCATCCAGACGGCAGAGGTGGTCCATCGGAAAAGAAGGGGTATTCGTTACTGCGCGGTGGTAACTCTAGACGTGAAGAATGCGTTCAACAGCGCTGGGGGCGATATCCCGCTCGCTACACCAACTCCGAATCCCCGAAGGGCTGTACAAGATTCTGGAAAGCTACTTCCAGAATCGTGTGTTGAAGTACGACACAGAAGATGGCGAAAAATGCGTTAAAGTCACTGCAGGAGTGCCACAAGGCTCCATCCTGGGCCCGGTGTTATGGAACGTCATGTACGATGGAGTGTTGAGGATAAGATTCCCAGAAGGCGTGAAAACCGTTGGTTTTGCCGACCATGTCACGCTGGTAGTCTACGGGGAATCCCTCGAAGAGGTAGAGCTGACAGCGGCTCACTCCATTAAGCTTGTGGAGGAATGGATGAGATCCAGGAAACTGGAGTTTGCCCATCACAAGATGGAAATGGTCGTAGTCAACAATCGCATGTCAGTGAAGCATGCCACGTTGACAGTTGGCGAGAGCACAATTAGGTCTGTGCGCTCTATGAAACTCTTGGGGGTTATGCTCAGCTTCGGCTGCCACGTCGAGTACGCCTGCAAGAGAGCATCTACGGCTGTGGGGGCATTATCCCGCATGATGTGAAACAGCTCGGTGGTGAGTGCCAGTAAGCGCAGCCTCCTCGCCGGGGTCGTAGTATCTATCCTCAGATACGGAGGCCCTGCGTTGGCGGCAGTAATGGATACTGACTGTCACAGGTGGAAATTAAAGAGTACACATCTTGAGGGAGGCCGTCTGTGTCATAGCAGGCCTCATCATTGTTGGAGCCGACTAGGCCCTTTGTGAAACAACAGAGATAGATAGGAAAACCTAGCAACACTGGACGAGCAGAAATAGTTAGTTAAGAACGAGAGTCGGTCGTGACGACACCATGTGCGCGTGTGCAGAGCGAGGTTCGGAAATAAAGCGTGGTTGTGTGGAGAGCAATTCTGTGCGTACTTATTTCGTGGATCCGACATATTTGGCGACGACGGGATAAACCGTAAAGACGGCTTGAAGTGAATTTCTGCTTTTTTGGTGGAAATAGACGTTGTAAAGTGAATCAGTTTGTATATTACGGCACTGATGCTAAATGCTAGACTGAACAAAAGGTGGTCGCCATTTTGAACGGGCGGAAAAAAATCGCGAATAGCAACAGGCTGAGCTGAAATTTGGGGCTCGGGCTGCGAGCGTAAGTGAAAAAAAAAGAGAAACAGGTTGGTTCAAAAAAATGAAAGGTTTTTGGTGTGCATTCCCAGTGTCGATAATAATATTGAAAAAAAAATAAGTGCGGGCCATTTTTTTATCTAAAAGCCAATGAAAAAGGGAAGAAACGGGGAAAACAAAAATGAAATGCGGACGCCGGAAAAAAAAATCGTCCTTTGAGAGGTTATGATGCTGATAGATTGTGGCTGAATTGCGAAAAGCAGAAGGGTGATTTTGTAGCATGAAAAAAAACAAAATGGCAGTATACCTGAGAAAATTCTGATTACTGAGAGTGTATAGGTGAATTTTCGAGTAACAAAAAGGAAAGAGAGAGAGAGGAAAAAAACGTGGTTTTGTACCGTATGAAAACAAAATGGATGTGTTTCTGGGAAGTTTTCGATTACTATGAGTGTGGTGGTGTTGATGGAGGTCGAAAAGGATGTGTATCTAGAATAGAATAGAAGTAAAGAGAGTGAGAAACAGGATCGTGGTTTTCGTGCCTTTGTAACATTGTTACAAAATGGTCGTAAAAAAATAGTAACATCTGTAAATATATTCTCTTGAAGTGTGTATCTTCCACTTCTCAGGCTACAAGAAAGTCAAAGGGAAGGCAATTGTATACATTTGGTGATGTTTGCATTCGAGCACTTTTTATGCATCGTAGCGCTGTGAGTGGCGAGAATTGGAAACACTCATTTGAATCTGATCGTGAAGCAAGACATACCACTCCGTTTGGATCGCAGATAGTATAGCCAATGTTTTAAAAATGAAATGATGATATGCAAATTTTTGAAGCAATGGTATTAGTAGGGATCCCCGCGTTGCGTAACACTTGGCAAAGAAGGCCATCTTCAATTACCATTCTTTCTCGTTTCGATCGGCATAGTGGTTGGACGTAGTCCCGAAAAAAACTTAGTGGAAAGTTATCGTTTGTGAGAATTTTAGCCAATCGAAATAGTTATATAATCGGGAAATTTAGAAAAAAAAACAATAGTGGTTGAGAACGTTATTATTGGCCCACGCGTGCCTAAAATCTATTGTAAACCTACATATGAATAGGCTAAAGTTGTCTTTAAAAGAGAAAAGGTGAAACACACGAAATAATCTGCTCGAGGTCCAGGACCGAATATCCTTCAAGCGAAGGTGTTTCGTCGAGGTAGGTGTAGGGGTTCGCGTATGCCACGCGATCTCTGGGAAGGTCCGAAGACTCGTCAGCTTGTAGCTGGTCTCGTTGGCGGGTTAGCGATATTCCCCAGCGCACTTACGGGCCACCGGAAGTCACCACTACTTCCGGGGTTGTATACCGGTCGCCAATTGCCGGATCACCCCATGTTTGGCCTCGAAGCAGCACTCGCGCGAGTAGAACAGCGGGCCCGCTAAAAAAACCGAATCAAAACGTGTAACCGTGTGGTGGCTGTCTCGAGGAAAAGATCGTCATAGCCGAGACACGTACCACTGACAGCATTATCAGCGAGAGGTAGTATACGGCTGCAGCCCCTCCGAGCATAACAGGTTAGATCAGTCCAGGTAACCTAAAAATAGAATAAGAAGGCATCAACACACACACACACCTACCCCGAAGATAAGAAGGTTCTAGAATAGCAATAAATGGGACAAACCAAGTGAAGTCATTAGACAGTTGATTTTGAACTACGGTCGGTATAGCAGAGCCGATGGCTATTAACTAACCCCTTTCAAAACCGAATACAAAGTGTATGAAAAAAAATAACCAACCATGATTGTCGTGAGCAAAAGAGAAAAGTCTGATAATTGAGTTTTTTTAGTCCGTGCGTTGACTTAGTTTGGGTCCCCGTTGACTACATTATCTAGGGGTCATATTGGGAAGCGTTGGTTGTGGTACGATCGGAAATCGGAGTAGTATTTTGAAGGACTCGCCTTGAGGAGTCTCACCGGGCACGAGCAAACCTTGCCTCTTCACATGCAAGTGATTCCTTTGCTTGCTTGGCGCTTAAGTGGAGAGGTTGATACACTTGGAAAAGAACCTTTCGGCGAGTAGCCCGTTACATTTGGCGCCCAACTAGTGGGTTAGATACGTTTAATTAGAATTGGTTAAATTAATTTTCTTTCATATTCTGGGCAATTCTCACATTTTAAAATTAGGGGTCTACTTACGTTTGATTATAGTATTGAGTTGGTTGCAATTCTGGAATAAGTAAGAACAAAATTGGATTAGTTTAGGGTTATTTGATAGGATAAGGTTGTTAGAGATTACACATTGAATTTATTTTTGTATATATTGGTTAATAATAATTTTCTTATCAGTTTAGTTTAGTTTTGAATTTACAGAAATTTTTGTTTTTTTTTTGGTTGCACATTATTATATTTTTTTTTAATATTTGAAATTTAGATTAAATTGAATTTGATTTGCATTGAATTGAATTTACATTGAACTGGATTTATTTACTAAGATGGCTTATTCTACAAACCAAGTTGGTTTGGGATCTTACATAAACCCTAGTGACCTGATGCAAGATGAAATTGACTATGAACTCAAACTTAGGGGTTTAAGTTTGTCTGGATATTCGTTAGAGGACCAGAGAGAAGCATTTCGGAAAGCTCAACTGGCTGAAATACAAAATACAAGAATATTATATACGAAAACGACCATTATCGATGAACTGACAATCATCCAAATTAAAGCAACTATGATAAGGCAAGAATTCGAGATACACGGGCCTAAAAGAGAATTAATGTCAAGGTTAAGACACTTACGACTTCGGGTTTTGCGTTCTAATGCGGTAGACAGTTATCAAGTTAAAATGAAAGATGATTTATTGAGGGAATTAGAAACTATATACGAGCTGTTCGCCACACCAGAGCATCAAAATTCCGGAATGGGCAGGCTACCTTCTGGGAGAGCATCGATACAGAACATCAGGGATCCAGCTTTAGAATTTCCTCCGCCTCCGCATGTACCACGATCATCTGAAATAAATTCAATAGATGATCAGCGTCCGCGAGATTCAACCACATCTGCACAAAGTCAGCAGCAGTCGCAAAGGGATCAACGGGCACATCAAACTCAGCAAGACAGCTTTCATCAACAAGTGGTTGAACAACAATCAACCCAAGAGCAACAACAATACCAGCAGTACCAAGAACAACTACAGCAGTACCAACAACAACTTATAGAACAGCAACAACAACAGCAGTACCAACAACAACTTCTAGAACAACAACAACAACAGCAACGTCAACAACAACAACAACAACAACAACAACACAAACAACAACTTTTAAAACAGCAACAACAACAACAACTCTTACAACAGCAACGAGAACAACAAGAACAACAAAGGTTTCACGAAGAACATATCGGACACGACCAACCTAGGGTTGAACCCATAACACCAGTTACGGGTCACAGGCAACCCAATCCATTTAGTTTACTGGATCTGGAAAGTGAAGACAACGATTTGAGGTCACATCTTTCTCCAATGCCTGAGGAAGAAAATCAGGCACTTTCGAGAGAAGAAGTGAGTAGAATTGTTGAAAATGTAGTAGCAACACAAATGGAAGGGATGATGGTAAAATTAATGGATAACATGCAGAACCTGTTGATAAATAATTCAAGACAAAATCAAATAGCACAAGAAGATAGGAACCGTAGCATCCCATTTAGCCAAGCTGTAGATGGGATGGGGTTCTCGCCAGTTGGGAATCCACAGATACGGCAGCAAAATGAACAATCAGTCATCAATCAAGCCACATTATCAAACCCATTTCTAGCATCAAATCCAGTTACGGCATCGAATCAAGTTCCGTCATCGAACCCAATTCCAGTATGGAACCCACCGGAGGTCAGAGATAGGGCACCGAGTCAAAACGGTTGTAATTATCGACCAAGAGGCGAACAACAACCTCGGAGCAGACCATTTAATAACAATAGTACAGATAGGGAGAATTGTTTTAAAATTCCCATAAATAAATGGCAGATAAAGTTCAGTGGGGATCCAAAGGGTATGTCAGTAGAAGAATTTGTTAAGCGCGTAGAAGTATTAGCCAAAAACAACCAAGTGTCAGATGCTGAATTGCTGAGTAAAGCGAACTTTCTATTCAGACCAGAATCTCCAGCGGAAATTTGGTATTATACCTTCAGTAATAAGTTTACGTCGTGGCAAATTTTGAAATACCACCTACGGTTACGATTTGAAGTGCCAAATAAGGACAAAGTTCTTGAACGACAAATTAGAGAAAGGAAACAGCTATCAAATGAGACATTCGTTGCATATTTAGGAGAAATAGAACGGCTGTGTCAACAGATGTCTAAACCTATGGATGAAAAAACAAAACTAGATGTTTTATTCGAAAACATGAAGGATTGGTATAGACCGCACTTGGCATTTTTAAATATCTCACAGTTAACTGTAGAAACCCTATGCAGTCTGTGCTATGAATTGGATAAGTCAGTATACAGATCGTATGCACAAAGAAACAGGATGTACAACGTAAACCACGTAGAAGGTGACCAGACTGAAGGAGCAGTAGAATACGATGAAGAATTTGCTGAAGAAGTGAATGCAATCAACCGAGCGCGCCCTCAGAGAACAAGGAGACAAGAAGATCAAAAAGAAGAAATTCAAAATGCAGCATGCAGCACCGAAAATAATATTCTTTGTTGGAACTGCAACGAATTTGGGCATTTTTGGAGAAACTGCACGAAAGGGAAACGCATATTTTGCCACGTTTGCGGAAAAACCGACGTGGTAATTTCAAACTGTCCAGGAGATCACAATAATACTAGAACGGAGTATACAAAAAACGTGTACAGGGAAGGCAATTAGGGAGTGACCCTTCCACAAACTTTAAAAATTCTCCCGAGTTTCAGGTGTATAATAAATTTTCGCAGGTAATGAATATAAATATTACCGAGAGCAGATGCCCACACATCACGGTGTCGATACTGGGGTCAAAGATAGAGGGGCTATTGGACTCAGGAGCGGCAGTGAGTATTTTGAGTGACTTGGACTTACTAAATAAACATAATTTCAAAACGACTGCATCAAATTTGCGAATAAGAACAGCAGATGGAACATCACATAGCTGCCTGAGCTCGATTTGCATTCCATACACATTTAGGGGTGTCACGAAAGTTATTCCAACTCTACTCGTCCCGAACATTGCCAAACCATTAATATTAGGAAATGATTTTTGGAAGGCCTTTAAAATTATACCAACAATAGCGGAAAATGGTAAACTTCACCCATTTGAAACTAATCGAGCCAAAGAAGAAGAAGTGTTCATCAACTTCGTGGAAGAATATTTTGGAGAAGTTAAACCTATACATCTAATACTAGAACCAACAGAGGGCGTAATTAAAACATCGGAAATAGAAGAAGATTTGAGCCTAGAGCTACCATCAATAGAAGACCCGGTAGAAATAAAATTAACGGAAATAGATACAGAGCATACACTAACAGAAAAGGAAAAAGGTCAACTTTTAGAAATCGTAAACAAATTAAAAGGAGATGGGAACTTAGGAAGAACAACTGTGCTGGAGCATAAAATCGACATAATTCCAGGAGAAAAACCGAAGAAACCCCCACGATACCGTTGGTCTCCAGCGATCCAAAAAGAAATGGAAAAGGAAATAGATCGTATGAAGGAAATGGACATCATCGAACTGTCGGAGTCAGACTGGTGCAATCCATTGTTACCAGTAAAAAAGTCATCAGGAGAGTGGAGGCTTTGCCTTGATTGCAGGAGAGTGAACGAAGTAACAAAAAAGGAAGCATATCCGTTCCCTGACATGCAGATGATATTGGGAAGGATAGAAAAAGCTAAGTACTTCTCTATTATAGACTTGTCTAAAGCATACTGGCAAATTCCCTTAGCCTTGGAAAGCAGAGACTACACGTCGTTTAGAGCAGGAAAGCATCTATATCGCTTCAAGGTGATGCCGTTTGGGTTAACAGGAGCCCCAATAACACAAACTAAATTGATGAATAGAGTTCTGGGATATGACATGGAACCGCAGGTTTTTGTTTACCTGGATGACATAGTCATCACCTCTAAAACGTTAGAAGAACACTTGAAATTAGTGAAAACGGTAGCGGAAAGACTGAGTGGAGCAAACTTGTCCATAAGCGTGGAAAAGTCAAAATTTTGCCAAAAACGAATTTCCTATCTAGGATATATTTTGTCAGAGGATGGTCTATCGATAGATAGTTCAAAATTAGAACCGATTCTTAGCTATCCCTCACCAAGAACCTTAAAAGAAGTAAGGAGATTGATGGGAATGGTAGGGTTCTACAAGCAATTTATTCCAAACTACAGTACCATCCTGGCACCGATCACGGACCTATTGAAAAAGTCGAAAACTAAACTTATTTGGACGGAAGAGGCAGACATAGCATTTAATGAAATAAAAAGTGTACTCACGTCTCCACCAGTCCTGGCGAATCCAGATTTTAACCAGGAATTCGTTATAGAATCTGACGCTTCCTTAGTGGCAGCGGGAGCAGTTCTGGTACAGCATCTGAATGGATATAGGCGCCCAATAGCATTTTTTTCAAAAAAATTTTCATCAGCTCAGAGGAAGTATTCCGCAACGGAGCGAGAATGCCTGGCTGTAATATTGGCCATTGAAAAATTCCGTCATTACGTAGAGGGAACTCAGTTTAAGGTGATAACGGACGCGCAATCCTTGAAATGGTTGAATAAAGTAAGCGTTGAGGTCAGCTCCGCACGGCTTGTTCGTTGGGCCCTTAAACTGCAGCAGCATAATATAATTCTAGAATATAGGAAGGGAAAATTGAATATTGTAGCAGATGCGTTATCAAGAGCAGTAAATGAGGTAGATGTACTTACGGTGGACTTGGACTTGGAAAAACTGAAGTCGGACATTGAAAAGGATAGTGACAAGTACAAAGACTTCAAAGTCATTCGAGGAAACGTATACAAGTATATCCCGAGCGGCAATCCAGAAGATCCTCGTTTTGAGTGGAAGTATATGCCGCCGAAAGCTGATCGTATTCAGATCCTCGAAGCCGAACATAGTGTAGCCCACTTTGGGTACTACAAAACGAGTAGGAAAGTCCGGGAAAAGTACTATTGGCCGGGTATGTGTGAGGAAATCAAACGATTCTGTCGAGGATGCCAGACGTGCAAAATGGTGAAACATCCAAACACCGCACGAGTACCTCAAATTGGGCGTCCGAAAATAGCGTCGATGCCTTGGCAAGTTGTGTCCATCGACTATATGGGTCCATTTCCACGGTCGAAAAAGGGCAACACGATGCTGCTAGCCGTCACCGATCACTTCTCAAAGTTTGTGATCATACAACCAATGAGGGAAGCAAAGACAGCACAACTGGTAATGTTCGTGGAGTCAATGATCTTCCTGTTGTTTGGCGTTCCGGAGATACTAATTTCGGATAACGGCCCACAGTTCAAATCTAACCTGTTTGCTAATTTGTTGAAAAAGTACAAGGTGAATCACTGGAAAAACGCCAATTATCATCCAGCAAATAATCCGACCGAACGGGTGAATCGGGTTATTGGCGCAGCGATCAGAACGTACCTAAAAGAAGAACAAAAAGAATGGGATGAGAACCTACAGAAAATTGCAATGGCTATCAGGACAGCAGTGCATGAGTCAACAGAGTTCACACCATATTTCGTCAATTACGGAAGGAACTATATCAGCTCAGGAGACGAATATTCAAGAATGAGGGAACTTGGAGAAGATGTAGAATATGAGCCAAAGGAGTTAAGTGATGAAAAAAAGGAAATCTTCGAAAAAGTAAGAATTAATCTAAAAAAAGCATACGAAAAATATGGAAAGTATTACAATTTGAGATCCACTGCAAAACCTATCGAATTCCAAGTTGGGGAAATAGTTTTGAAGAAAAATTATTTCCTTTCCAATAAAGCAAAAAATTTCAACGCAAAGCTGGCAGACACGTACTCTCTGGCAAAAATTATTGCTAAACTAGGCTCTAATTGTTATGAACTGGAAGATGTAAACGGACGCAAACTAGGAGTGTACAGATCAGCTGATCTACAAAAGAAATAGGTCGGAGAGGGCACTAGGCAAATGAAAAAAAGATCGTAGATAGCAAATTAAGTTCAATTAACCACTATGAAATACACTAGAACTCGTAAAAAAATAAAAACAACGGTGGTTAAGATATTCCACTTGGAAAAAACAATCCAATAAGAAAATCATCCCGCGGCAAATGACCTCAGTTGTTTACATCACTTGAAAAGTGAGTCAACTAGATTGACATGCAATTTGAAGCTATGTACGTACACAAGCACTCTCTAGGGGCAAAAAAACACAAAACTAAAGTTTTGGGAAGCTGAAAAAAAAAAAAATGTAAATAATATCTGTACATAGCCATTGAATTCAATTAAAATGAGTTGGTGTTGGGAATAGGTAGATCATAGTTAGCATTAATTGTAAATTATGGTAGTCACTTACCGTTTTTTAGGATCCACACAAATTTGGAATTAAGATAACTGTAAACTCGGCTGTAAATAAAACTAAACGGGGATGTGTGAACATACGATGAGAAATTGACGACAAAGCTGATTGTGCTTGGCATTGATGCGAGCTTAACAGTTAGGGTCGATAAAGTAGGAAGTACAGTAGAGGAAGAATGCGAAAAACTAAGAGTAGTACAGTAGTAGAAATAAAAATGGGCCACTTTCAGGTGTATGGGAAGATAGGCAAAGAATGGAGTAATTTAAGGACGGTTTTTCGAGAAGTTTATTCGGATAGTAATCCGAGTTTGAGAAGCAATGACTTCAGTTGGTTTCGGTTCGTCGGGATATATACCACGAAAGTTTTGGTCGAGTCGTTACTTGACGGTGAGGTAAAAGGCCTCTGAGGTGAAATTAGTGTTCGGATTGTGATCTGAGTATATAGCCAAGGTCATATGGACCAGCGAATAATAATAGGTGTGAGTTAAATGAAAAGAAAAGTAGACAGAAGGGAAACAGCGAAAAAGTGGTCCAAGGCAGAAAAAAATAATAAAAGGATGCATAGCAAGAGGCTTATGAAGAGAGCAGCCTACCGAATATATGGATATGGATTGAGTATGGATGGAATCATTCTAGTAGTATTCTAGTATTCTATTCATGTAAGTAGAACCCTAATTTATTGTTGTGATGTTGATTTCAATTATTGAATTTAGTAATCGTAAAATATAAATTTAAAATGTAGAAAAAAAAATCCTTCGTAAATGGTTAGATTACAAATAGCGCCCTGATTTATTGGTTTGTTGTTGTAAAATGAATGAATCGAGTAATGGTTAAATATGGTTTGGAAACAGTATTAAAAAAAATATTAACTTCGTCAATATTTTTTTTGGTTTGGTTGGAGGTAATGTAACATTGTTACAAAATGGTCGTAAAAAAATAGTAACATCTGTAAATATATTCTCTTGAAGTGTGTATCTTCCACTTCTCAGGCTACAAGAAAGTCAAAGGGAAGGCAATTGTATACATTTGGTGATGTTTGCATTCGAGCACTTTTTATGCATCGTAGCGCTGTGAGTGGCGAGAATTGGAAACACTCATTTGAATCTGATCGTGAAGCAAGACATACCACTCCGTTTGGATCGCAGATAGTATAGCCAATGTTTTAAAAATGAAATGATGATATGCAAATTTTTGAAGCAATGGTATTAGTAGGGATCCCCGCGTTGCGTAACACTTGGCAAAGAAGGCCATCTTCAATTACCATTCTTTCTCGTTTCGATCGGCATAGTGGTTGGACGTAGTCCCGAAAAAAACTTAGTGGAAAGTTATCGTTTGTGAGAATTTTAGCCAATCGAAATAGTTATATAATCGGGAAATTTAGAAAAAAAACAATAGTGGTTGAGAACGTTATTATTGGCCCACGCGTGCCTAAAATCTATTGTAAACCTACATATGAATAGGCTAAAGTTGTCTTTAAAAGAGAAAAGGTGAAACACACGAAATAATCTGCTCGAGGTCCAGGACCGAATATCCTTCAAGCGAAGGTGTTTCGTCGAGGTAGGTGTAGGGGTTCGCGTATGCCACGCGATCTCTGGGAAGGTCCGAAGACTCGTCAGCTTGTAGCTGGTCTCGTTGGCGGGTTAGCGATATTCCCCAGCGCACTTACGGGCCACCGGAAGTCACCACTACTTCCGGGGTTGTATACCGGTCGCCAATTGCCGGATCACCCCATGTTTGGCCTCGAAGCAGCACTCGCGCGAGTAGAACAGCGGGCCCGCTAAAAAAACCGAATCAAAACGTGTAACCGTGTGGTGGCTGTCTCGAGGAAAAGATCGTCATAGCCGAGACACGTACCACTGACAGCATTATCAGCGAGAGGTAGTATACGGCTGCAGCCCCTCCGAGCATAACAGGTTAGATCAGTCCAGGTAACCTAAAAATAGAATAAGAAGGCATCAACACACACACACACCTACCCCGAAGATAAGAAGGTTCTAGAATAGCAATAAATGGGACAAACCAAGTGAAGTCATTAGACAGTTGATTTTGAACTACGGTCGGTATAGCAGAGCCGATGGCTATTAACTAACCCCTTTCAAAACCGAATACAAAGTGTATGAAAAAAAATAACCAACCATGATTGTCGTGAGCAAAAGAGAAAAGTCTGATAATTGAGTTTTTTTAGTCCGTGCGTTGACTTAGTTTGGGTCCCCGTTGACTACATTATCTAGGGGTCATATTGGGAAGCGTTGGTTGTGGTACGATCGGAAATCGGAGTAGTATTTTGAAGGACTCGCCTTGAGGAGTCTCACCGGGCACGAGCAAACCTTGCCTCTTCACATGCAAGTGATTCCTTTGCTTGCTTGGCGCTTAAGTGGAGAGGTTGATACACTTGGAAAAGAACCTTTCGGCGAGTAGCCCGTTACACCTTTTGAAAACAAATTGGATGTGTTTCAACATAAAAAGAAGATTTTCTGTGGAGGAAATGATAAGTAGCAAAACGGCTGACGCATCAGCCGAGCAAATGAGAAGAGAGATGCACGCCTTATTACGAGGTAATTGGAATGGTTGGTTGTGTACCAAGGAGTTTTAAATAAAATAATAAGGAGATGGCTGTGTACCACAGTGAAATGGAAGATGGTTATGTACCACTACTATGTGAATGGAGATGGTTTTGTACCACAGTGAAAAGGAAGACGGTTATGTACCGAATATTATGTGAATAAAGAGAAGGTTGTGTACCACTACCTATAGTAGAAGGGCTGTGTGCCAAAGAGAAAAAAAAATAATAGCATTGGTTGAGTACCAAAATGAGGAATAGTTATGTACTAAGGCAAATGAAATGGTTTCGTGACAATATGGAATTATGATCAGTAAGTATACTTTTGAGTGTAAAAGGCATATTCTTGAATGGATTTTGGATCTGGTGCCACAGAGTACATCATTATTATGGTACCGATCCATGAAAGATGACAGGAACTACCGGGGTAAGTCAAGCGAAAAAAAACTATTATATGACATGTTGTGTGGGTTCTAAAAGTATAATCAATTGTTCTGCTTATTTAAAATGGTATTGAAATTTACTATATGGCACTTGGAAATGCACCCCAAAAAGTTTTATTAAAAAAAAAAAAAAAAAAAAAAAATCACACTGTGTGATGATTAACATGCAATAATTTCACAGGATGGCTTTACCAAGCAGAATCAAACCATTCGAGGTTACCATAGAAACCAGCCGTTTACCGGGCGAGTGGGAAACTTGGAAACTTGACTTGGAGTCGTTTTTCTTAGCACAAGGTGTAGAAAGACAATCTGACAAACGGGCCCAGTTGGCCTACCTTGGAGGACCAGGTCTCCAGGGGTTACTTCGCCATCTTCCGGGTGTTGACAAGGTACCCCACGTAACAAATGATCCCCCATACTATGACGTGGCGGTAAAATGTCTGGATGAATACTTCGAGCCTTTTCGCCGCAAGACATATGAACGGCATCTGTTTCACCAGATCGTTCAACAACCAGGAGAGCGATTCACGGATTTTGTCATGCGGATGCGAAAACAGATTGCAAGATGCAATTATGAGTCAAGTGTGGTGGATGAACTGATCGCGGATCGGATTGCCCAGGGTTGTATTTCTGAGGAGCTACGGACAAAACTGCTGCAGAAGGATCGCACCCTGGAAGAAATGATTACGTTGGGTACAAGTATGGCGGAGTCACAGCAACAGTCTACTCGGAAAAAAAATCCGTTCCCGAAAATGGGAACGGACCGTGAACTAAAAATCACGGCCAGCTATCCAGAACAAAATTTTCTCAAATATACACCGTGAACTATGGTTCACGGCTGTGGTTCACGAATATGGGAACTCTTTTTTTCCCGTGTAAGAAGCTTAACAGGCCTGTTGGTCGCCAAGAACAGGATGTTTATGCGGTAACAAATAAACCGTACAGAAGTGATCGACAGACAATCAGACGACCATCTGTATACCCACCCAGAAACCAGCCAAACAACCGGTTCATCTGCTATGGATGTGGACGTCAAGGGCATACACACGGTAGCAACGAATGCCCAGCCAAGCATACGAAATGCGCTGCTTGTGGAAGGATCGGACACTAGGCAAAGCGTTGTTACAGCACCGGTGGACGGAAGCGCCTTTTGGACAATCCAACCCCGTATCCTAAGACTAAGCGAATCCGCGCTGTGTCTGAAGAAATCGACCAGACGAAGGACTATGTA